TCTACGGGTCATTCTAGGGTTCATTAATGCATCATATAGGAATATTTCTATTCACACTTAACTAAGAAAATATTGGATTTTCTGGAAATCAAACTATATCGATTTTACAAGGAAAATGGTTTTTACTTCAAACAAAACTCTTATGAACTCACCAACTTAATTGTTGACACTTTTCAAAACTACTTGTATTCTCAGGAAATCAGTGAAACAGGAAAAACTTCAGCGCCTTGAGGATGGGACGTTAAACCGTCAACGATTTACTTTTGTCATCATAATGTAATTGATTTTGAAACATGTAAACATATACTTTGGTGTAACTTTTTCAATTATATTTATGATGGTTGTATTTACTTTGAGCACTATTATACACGTAGTTGTGATACTGTACATGAAGTCCTCCACCCCCGGACGTTTTCGCCATCCTTGGTTTGGGGGTGTGACAGTGAATGAGATGAAAAGTAAAGATTTAGGTATTGTGGGATGGTAGGCTGAAAATGTGATTTGATGAAGAAACTGATGAAGAAGATAAACTGATAAAGAAACCGATGAAATGAAGATTTGGGTTTATATATATATATATATATATATATATATATATATATATATATATATATATATATATATATATATATAAGAAGAAATAGAACCACTATCATCATTAAAAGAATATCTAAAACCTTGTTTAAATAAAGCATGAAATGAAATGATGTTTCATGTCATCTCTGATGAGTAGAAACAATTTAATAAATCTAACCCTAACCCACTACTAAGAATTAAGCTATAAACTCCAATCTTGGTGACTAGTGAAGATTGCCTATTCCCCATGATCAAGTTCACCCTTCCATGCTCCACATCCTCACTTCTTTCTACCCCCCTACAAATTAGAACAAATGTAAAACCCACATCGTATATCAAGGAGCCAAGAACAAGAATATGATGAGTTATTAGATAAGATAGTGTAAATACCTACCGATGTTGGTTTCACCTTGCCATCCTTGATATCCTTCAAGTATTTCGAGCAGCTTTGTTTCCAATGCCCATTATCATTGCAATAGAAGCAAGTGGCCTCTTTCGGGTCAGAAATAGGAGGAGCATCAAAACTGGATTTTCCTATAGGTCTTGTACTTGATGACCCAGCTTGGGACTTTTCCTTTAAGTTTTGCTTTGGAGGACCTTTAATCTTCTTCCCCTTCCCTTGCCCTATGGCCAGAACAGAAGCACTAGGAGGAGTGGAGGCAATATATTTTCCCTTCATTTTGGCTTCAGATGTTCGTAGGAGGTTGTACAATTGTGAAAAAGTATCTTCATTGTTGTTCAAATGATAGACCAATATGAACTGATCATAACAACTTGGAAGAGAGTTCAACACTATGACGATTGCCAACTCTTCCTCAAAATTCTCGTTGAGCTTGATTAGCCTGTCCACATATCGTTGCATTCTCTAAATTTGGCTACTAACAGACTCACCCTCCTTCATCTTGCTAGCAATGAGGGACTTTACCACATTTTACTTTTCTCGATGAGCTCGCTTATGGTATTTCTCCATAAGGTCCTTATTCATCTCGTACGACCAGTAATCCTCATAGTGCCTTTGCAATTCTGGAGTTATTATGGTCACCATAATGCACATAACTTTTGTGGTATCATTATAGTGTTTCTTGTAGGTAACCAATTCATCAGGAGTAGCCTTCTCTTCGTCAATTTCATCCAATGGTTTCTCGAGGAAATATTCCTTTTCCTCGAAATGAATGGACATTTTGATGTTGCGCATCCAATCGTAGTAGTTGGTGCCTTCCAATTGCACCTTCAAACGGATGCTCAACAGAGAGTAGTTGTTGTTGTTGTTGGAGGAGGAGGAGGAACTAGAAGCATCAGTTGGAGTAGACATCTTGATAGAGAATAAAGGTAGTTTTAGTTAGATAAGAATAATCCTCAATACAACACCTAAAATTAAATATCAAGGATAGAATCCAACACAATAATTTACAACTTAGAAAAATGATGTCATAATCTAATTGTAAATTGTATAAAGGTAGGTAAATGATGATTTATGAATTTCACCATCAAAAAACAAAATTTCAACGAATTTGGTTTTAAATGAAATTCCTAGATCTTTTAAGAATCATTGAACTTTTCAATGACATGTTTCATCTTAATGATGCTCTTCCATTTGTGACTGCAATACCTGTGAATAACTATGCAAATTAAGTTGGTACTCTCGATGTTTTTTATCATCTCAATTTAATGTATCCGTTACCCACACACGCTCCATTAATCAATGATAATTTTCAATACACCCATTGCCATTCTTTATATATCCCTATTTGTGTGTCGGTTAACCACATGTGCTCCTCTAACGACTCATAAAATGCAATGTGTAATTTCATGCGTTAGCATACAAGTTCACAGTTTTCCTATAATAACTAAGATTAGGAATTTTATAAAAATATGTTTAGTTACTTTAGAATTCATTATACTTCTTAATAAGGATTAGGTTGTCCTATAAAACTCGTTCGACTAACGACCGTCCACCATACAAGGTGTCGACAGTCATTTTATAGGTTGTTTCCTTAAACTCCCCTTATAGTACGGTTTTGTAAAAGAGGCGTACTAGCGGTTCAACTGACTTGTATTATACATATAGTAATATTAGACTTTTAATGTTGCATATAGTATAAGGGTGTGTATTTTAAAACTTTTCAACAATAACTAAGTTATATTTTAAATTTCAAAAATTAAGATTTTTTTTTTAAAATTCAAAGTTAAACTAGTCGTGAATTCAAGATAAGGATATCAAATTACTTAGAAAAATATTCAGTTTTATACAATTAAAACATTATTAAAGGTAATTATCCCAATCAATTCATGAAATAAAAATAAAACTGAATTTTATGGATCTGATAGCCCATCACATCGTGGTAAACAATTACCATGTCGTGGTAGAGCAAAATCGTAGGTCACCATGTTGTGGTGAAAGTGACCACGTCATGGTGGCGGAAAAGAAAGACAATTCTTTTTTCTTCTCCTTGTTCAAGTTCAATGATTGTATCAATTCAATAGAAAACTAAACCTACGCTCTGATACCACTGACGGGTATTATGCAAAACATATAATTCATATGTGTCCTTGCAACCCTAGTATTTGATCTATGTTTTCTCTAATTGAACATACAACTTTGAAAAACAAAATAGAAACCCTAGAACACTAGTATATTTTCAAAAAATACAAATAGGGTTAGAAAAATCAAACCTCGATTGTTGTTGGTAATAACAATGTAAATCTTTGTGTTGTTGAAGCCTTGAGAGCAAGCGTTACAAATGTCAAGCCTCTAGTGGTTCACACCCAACACTAGCAACGAAAGATGATTGAGGAAGAGGAAAGATGCTCTAAAATTCGGCTAGCCCTTCAAAGGAACATCTAGCCGAAATTTCTACGGTTGACGCTCTATTTATAGTGCAATCAGGAAACCTTAGATATGCTCAAATCAAAGATTATCTTAAATCGGGTAATTACCCACTTTCCTGATTATCTACCAGGGATTATTCTAGATTGCCTCTTGCTCAACTATTGAACAATTACACTTCAACCCCTACACTTTAAATTAATCTTTTTAATCCCAAAATTAATTCCAATTAATTTTTGATTAAATATTAAATAAATATTACTATTCTAATTAATATGTTATTTTCATAATATGTTAACAAATTATATATTTCAATTTATTAAACAAATAATAAATCAACATCTTTCTCCAAAAATCATTTTCTCTAGTTTTTAGTCTTGAGGGCAACCCAAAAGAATTGTGTTACTATCAGTTCAAATATATATCAATTATAGTTATGAGTTTAGACACCTAACCTAACAATTTATTCTTACAATATTTGGTCTTGAGTTATAAAGCTCCAAATAGAGGTTCACAAATGCCCAATCCTTCAATCCAAATCCGATCCAACCAAAATTTGATTCGGATCCGATCGAAGTCCGATTTGATCTGATTTTTGGTAGGTCTTACTGGATTTATGGTAGGATTTGGACCCACTTTTTAATAAATTCGGTTTGCGATCCAGTATCAAATCTGATTTTGCCCATAGGATTAGGATTTGGTCTGAATCCGGTTGACGATCCAAAACAATTCGATATGGATAAAAGTCGTTTTTAACCAAATTCGGTTTTCGAATCAGACCATATCCATACAGTGATCAGGTTTTGGTGTGCACCTCTAGCTCTAAACGTGGATACTTAAAGTTGTTAAAATTTCCATAAGCTTTTTCATCACTTTTGTCCAACTCTGTACACTTATATTATCTTCAATAAAGTTTGAATTGAGGTGGTTCTTTTTATTTCATTTTCTTATTATGTCCAACACAAAGTACTCTTTTGCCCTTACTCATTTTCTTGTTTTAAGACATGGTTTTGTAGCCTTAAAGTTGGCTACTTTATCATTTATGTGAAATTTACAACTTTCATTTTCCTTTCACTTTTGCCCTTGTGTATTATCCACTTATTTTATAAACACTTTAACTTATTATATATCATATATGGGGAATTTTTATCATTGGTTCTCGTATCAATAATATAAAATGAACATTATACCCTTTTGATATTTGCCTTTTTTTAAGCGTAGGGGTGGGTGGGGTTTGGTAGGTGTCCATCTTTTTTATTTTTTTAATTAATAAAATATTAAATAAATCTTACAAAATATATAATAATCAAATTAAAATGATGTAATGATCTATTTAAGTTTAACAGAACCTTATCCGGAAAAAAATATCTTGCATGTTTTGGACTCGCAGTATAAATTGGAATCTTTTTGAATTTTATCCGCAAACCTAGAGACCAAATTTGCAGATTATGTAAAAATAAAATATAAACACATGATTTTATATATAATTGGGTAGAATACAAGAAAATGGCAACACACAAGAATGAAATACATCAGCATTAAATCCTTCAAAGTTGTCAATTGATCAAGATGTGCCCCCAGTAAAGAACGAATTAATGGATTGTGGATCAATTCTACTATATTTAAATGAATGTCATTATGTAGATGCCTTAAGTGTTTGGAAATCCGTTGGAACTAGTAACAACTCGGTCTTTCTTTGGACAGTGGCTCCAAAGCTCTCAGTCATGTCCAAATCTTCAAATGCTTTGCCATCGGGGAGCTTCCAATTGAAGTAGTAAAGTATATGAGCCAAAGGAAGTTCCACGTTGGCTAGACCAAGGGCAGCTCCAGGACACATTCTCCTTCCTGCACCAAACGGGAGATACTCATACTCTGAACCCATTACAGTGATGGAGCTCTTTTCGAATCTCTCTGGCATGAAAGTTTCAGCATCTTTCCAGTATTCAGGATCCCTGTTTATAGCAAACACATTGACAATAAGTTTTGTCTTGCTTGGTATGTCGTATCCCCCCAACACACATGGTTCCCTACACTCTCTAGGCATAACCAACGGTAGTGGTGGGTGCAACCTCAATGTTTCTTTGATCACTAGCTTTAGGTAGTTTAGTTCTTGTATATCTTCCTCTTGGATCCTTTCCTTTCCATTTAGTGCTTGCCTTAGTTCTGCTTGAACTTTCTCCATCGCTCTTGGACACCTTATCAATTCAGAGATTGCCCATTCAATTGTGGCTGATGATGTATCTGTTCCAGCTCCAAACATATCCTGCATCATTTAATCACATCTGTCAGTTTAAAGACATCTAACCAAAGAGTACAATGAAAATAATAAAGATTACTACGCATCTGGAGATATGCTACAAGTACATACCAGAATGACTGCTTTGACATTGTCAGCTGTCAATGGAAACTCAGCGCTTTCTTTCAGTCTTAACAGAACATCAAGTAGAGTCTCCTGTGATGAGCTTGTACGATTTCCAGGGTGCTCGGAGATGATATTGTTGATCAAACTGTCAAGCTTATTGTGTATGTTGGTTAACTTAGCTCTCTTCCCTGAAAGGTGGTGAAGTAACTTTTTGGAAGGAAAGATATCCGCCACATCAAAACCTCCAGTCAACCTTAGTATTTCTTTTACTAATTCGGTAAATTTCATTTGGTCTTTTATTCCTTTACCAAACGCTGCCCTACTAAGTATGGTAGCAATCATCTTGAAAATGTTTTCTGAAAGATTGATTGGTGATCCCTGCCCAGTGGATCGTATATGCTTAACCAGATTCCAACACTCCTCCTCACGAAGGGATTGAAAGGACTTCACTTTCTTGTTACTCAAAAGCTCCAAGGTGCAAAGCTTTCGCAACTGCCTCCAGTATTCACCATAGGGAGCAAGGACAATATCGGTATTGTGGTATGCAACAATCTCACCGGTTAAAGTCTCCGGTCTGTTTGCAAAAGTAATATCATACGTTGTCAGAACCTCTTTTGCCCAACGTGGGGATGAGACCACGATAGTGGACACTTCTCCTAGTTGTAGATGCATGAGAGATCCATGTTTCCTTGCTAACTCCATGACACCACGATGCGGCATCGTACCTATTAAAAGATGGTTTTATCAGCCTAAGGAATCATTTCAATGCAAAAAAAATTGATGAGATTAAAATGTGAAGGATCCATAAATAGAGATTCAGAAAAAGATAACATATAACATACCGATCAAATGATGCATGTGTCCGATTAATGGGAGTCTCCATGGCTCTGGGAGCAAGTTTTTCTTTGATTTGGGACGTGTTACTAACTTGAAAAGGGTGAAGATGATGATGGCAAGGCCAAGGGTAGTGGTGACAGAGATCTCCATTGTTTGAAATGGAGAATAGTCGATTTGTTTTGGAATGATTTTGAGACAATAAATGCCACGCTCTTATATAGAGATGATAGGTATGCTGTTGCTGTTGTTTTATGTTTTCGTGGAAATATTGGTGATTCCTAGAAGCTGCGATAGTAGATAGCCATTATCGACCTCGGTATGGGCGCTATATGTTGTTTTGTGTTCTCAACATACCATAGTTGACTTGCCCTGGCTGCCGTCAGTACATAAATTCCACAGAACATTTGTCAGCTTTCACTTGTTTACTCCAACTCTCCTTTCTTATTATTATTATCATTATTATTATTATTATTATTATTATTATTAATAGTTAATACATTTAACTAATTCTAATCTTAATTACTTAAACTGATAAATGATGTAAACTAATTAATTTATATATAATATTTATAATAATTTATCAATTTGTTTCATAAACCAAGTTCAATTGTTTTTTCTTTTGTTATTTTTAATTATTTTATTATATATACGTGACTGCAATATTCATATCATACATTATACTAAGTATTGTGTCAAAAAAGATAAATTAAGAACATAACCAATTAACCAGAATTGGAATATATGTAAAAAATTCAAAGAATATAATATGAAAACCTAAAAGGTGGAATTTTCAGTTGTGGCAACGTGAATTATACATAAATATAATATAAAAACCTAAAAGGGGAGTTTTCACGTGTGGCAACTCATGGAATATACACAATTAAGTTATTAAGAGTATAAGACAAATATAGAAGTTGATGGGTAGCAGCCCCTTTTTTAAATTCTCATGCTTCATATTTTTGACAGTGTATCAAATGATCATTTTTCGGTTTGGTGGTAAATTTTTAAAGAAACCGAAAGATCATTTACTTCTAAAAAGTGTGGTTTTCCTACAAAATTTAGTAGCATCAAACAAATTTCTCTACTTCCTACACATTATTGAGGAACTTTAGTGAAAAAAGTGTTTATGATATTTCCTCAAAAGTTCCTCAGTAACAAGTAGGTTATACCGAGAAATTCTCCATCGTCGAAATCCTCCCGGTATATCACTACTAGAAAAAAGGGTGTTTTCCTACGGATAATAGCTACGGAAAAATTTCCGTAGCTAATTAGCTACGGAATGGCTACGGATTAGTTACAGAATGGGACGCCCTAATTTAGTAACGGAATAGCTACGGAATAGCTACAGAATAACTACGGATGCTATTCCGTAGTTATTCCGTAGCTAATTAGCTACGTAATAACTACGGATGCTAGTCCGTAGTTATTCCGTAGCTAATTAACTACGAAATAGCTACGAAATAGTTACAGATGTTAACCCGTAGCTATTCCATAGCTAATTAGCTACAGAATGGCTACAGAATAGCTACGGATACAATATTAAACCATTAAATGAGTAAAGGATCTCGAATGTGCAAACGATTTTATGAACACTATTAATAACTATAAGTTGTTAAAAATAAAGATAATCATGTATAATAGAAGTGGGAAAAAAACAAAGAGAAAAAAACGATGTTTAATGCCCGAAAAATCAAAAATAAGAAAAATCCGTAGCTACTCCGTAGCTAATTAGCTACGAATTAGCTACGGAATTTTTTAATTTTCTACTTTCCGGGCACCAAACGTCGTTTTTTTCGATTCGTTTTTTTACACCTCTACTATACATGATTATATATACTTTCACCAACTTATAGATATTAATATCATTCATAAAGTCGTGTGCACCTTCGGAATCAAGTATTCGTTTCACAGTTTTAACAATGTAATTATTATACTTTTCACCAAATTGTGATGAATTTATTTTTGTATATGTATATTTACATACATGAAAGAGTTGTGGTATATGTGTACGTGTATGTGTGTATGTATACGTGTTTGTGCGTATTTATATGTGAATGTAGATCATAAGCGTGTTAAACCATTAAACGAGTCATGAATCTCGTATGTGTACACGACTTTATTAATGATATTAATAGCTGTAAGTTGGTGAAAATATAGATAATCATGTATAATGGAGGTGTGAAAAAAACGAAGCGGAAAAAACGACGTTTGGTACCTGAAAAATGGAAAAGAAGAAATATTCGTAGCTAATCCGTAGCTAATTAGCTACGGATTAGCTACGGAATTCTAACAGAAAGCATATTCCGTAGCTAATCCGTAGCTAATTAGCTACGGAATAGCTACGGAACAGGATTTCCGTTAGAATTCCGTAGCTAATCCGTAGCTACTTAGCTACGGATTAGCTACGGATATTTCTTATTTTCGATTTTCTGGGAACCAAACGTCATTTTTTTCGCTTCGTTTTTTCACACCTCTACTATACATGGTTATCTATATTTTCACTAACTTATAGCTATTAACATCGTTCATAAAGCCGTGTGCATATACGAGATCCATTACTTGTTTAATGGTTTAACACAATAATTCTTATGAATACGTTCACATACATCTCACAAACACGTATACCCGACATGATGATGATGATGATGATGATGATGATCATCATCATCATCACCAACATCACTATCTTCATCATCACCATCATCACCACCATCATCATCATCATCATGAGCATCACCATCACCATTACCATCACCATCATCATCATCATCATCATCATCACCACCATCATCACCACCACCACCATCACCACCACCACCGCCATCATCATCACCATCACCATCATAAACATCATCACCATCACCATCACCATCACCATCACCATCACCATCACCATCGCGATCGCCATCACCATCACCATCACCATCACCATCACCATCACCACCATCATTATCATCATCATCAACATCACCACCACCACCATCATCATCACCATCATCACCATCATTATCATCATCAACATCACCATCATCATCTTCATAATCATCACCACCACCACCAACATCATCATCATCATCATCATCACCACGACCATCACACCACCACCATTATCATCATCATCACCACCATCATCATCAACATCACCACCATTATCACCACCACCACAACCATTGTAACAATGCAAATTTTCAAACAAATTTTTCATTTAAAATAAGTGATTTATTTCAACCAAATATAATTATTCCAAATTTCATATCAAAATACAATCATAAAATCCCCAAGATCTCAAAACATCAACAGTGTGTACGCGTCATGCCGGCGCCTTCCCACGGTCCTCGCTAGTACCTGAAACACATACATAACAACTGTAAGCATAAATGCTTAGTGAGTTCCCCAGTATACTACTTACGCATATACGCCTTTCCAGGCCCTGACCTTCCGGTCCACAACACAATCGCCTTCCGGCCCTTGAGATAATCGCCTTCCGGCCCATAACATATTGCCTTCCGGCCCATAACATATTGCCTTCCGGCCCATAAACATACACAGCAAATAATACATTTATCCTAACACATATAGCACATATATCATATATCATATCCGACCTTTCAGTCACATAACATATTGCCTTCCGGCCCATATAAACATACATAGCACGCATAGCAATTACCTTTCCATTTATAGCACTTATAACACATATCATATCCGACCTTCCGGTCACACAGTCAAACCCTTCCGGGTACAGTATAGTGAGAAGACTCACCTCGTGGGTAATGAAAGCTAGCGACTCCTGAAATCACTCGCACTCGATCCGCCGAGCTACAGACTCCCTATAATATCATATATCCCTTATTAATACTTTTATCTTTCAAGACACTGACCCTAAGAAATCACATGTAGGTCAACTCTGGTCAACGGTCAACTTGACCGGACTCGGCGAGTGCTAAGGCGACTCGGCGAGTCTAGACGTCCTCACCAAATCCTGATGTTCCCTTTCTACTCGTCGAGTATCCCTCTTGACTCGACGAGTTCCTCGTGGAAGAATCGCGGGGCCACCCCGACTCCACTCGCCGAGTCTGAAGAACAGCTCGACGAGTCCCAGTTAATCTCCAAGCTACTCGCCGAGTCTGTTCATCGGACTCGGCGAGTCCATGCCATGCAGTCGATCAAACTGCTTCCTGAGATCAGTATTGTCCCGACCATTCATAGGTCTGGTCCTCCTAAGCTGGTACAACACGTAAGACCTTCATTTAGGTGCTCATGCTACACCCCAAGACTTGTAATTTACCTTTTGACTTAAGGCATAAGGATTCCAATCCAAAACCTCTCTTAATTCCCGAAATACACAGGCATGGGACATTCTGGACCTCTAAAGGTCCTAATACAGGGTTATAATCGTTTGGGGAACAAGGGTAATAATCAATCTAGTCACAAAAGGGTTCCATAAACCCTAAATCCATGCACACATCAACATAGCAGAATATGATCCGAAATATTACCTGAATAATGCACTCTCTGTGTCCCCAATCCTCAGAACTTGATTCCCTTGCTGTTCCTTTAGCCAAACCCTTCTCTTCCTTGCACAATAACTTCTTCAAGATCACCAATGGCCTTCAATCCTTGCTCTAGATGCCCACAACCGATTTAGGGTTCTTCTCAGTCGCTAAAGACGGACAATGACGGCCTATAAGTCCGTTATATACGTTCCAAAACCGAACGGCTAGGGTTTCCGCTGAACAGCGCAGACTCGCCGAGTCCATAATGGACTCGTCGAGTCCAGTCGCGAACCCGCGACCCAGTCTGTGGTCCTACTCGGCGAGTCTGGCTCCAACTCGCCGAGTCCCCTCCTAAAACACCCCAAAAACAATATTATAACAATACCTGAAATTCCGGGCTGTTACAACCATCATCATTATCACCATCACAATCACCACCACCATCATAAATATCATCACCATCACCGTCGCCATCACCATCACCATCACCACCACCACCATCATCATCACCATCATCACCATCATCACCATCAACATCATCATCACCATCATCATCATCATCATCATCACCACCATCACTATCACCACCACTACCATCACCATCACCAACACCACCACCACCGCCACCACCACCACCACCATGATCATCATCATTATCATCACCATCATCACTATCATCACTATCATTACCATCACCATCATCACCACCACCACCACCATCATCTGCATCATCATCATCATCATCATTATCATCATCATCATCATCATTATCATCATCAACATCATCATTATCATCATCATCATCATCACCATCATCATCATCATCCCCACCACCATCATCACCACAATCGTCATCATCATCACCATCATCATTACAATCATCATCAAACATCACCATCACCATCACCTTCATTATCATCATCATCATC